AAAAAAAAAAAAAAAAAGAGTAGAAAAGAGATATGTGTGTAGTATAGGTCTCACACCACTAAAGAAGTAAGCATATTGAAGGGTCACTCAAAAATAGTTCCTGAGAGATCCAAATCAGGAAATGGTTAAGTGAAAATCCAACACATTTTTGCAATGCCTTTTTGACAGATAAACAAAAATAGTCTATTTATTATTTAAGGAACTGAGCAGAGGACATCAATAATTCACAAAACAAAAACTAAAAATCACCAATAAGCACACTTTAAAAGTTTACGTTCAGAAGCAATTAAATAAATAAAAAATTAAAAGACAAAAATATAAATAAAAGGTCCAGTAAAATAAAGATTCTCATAATGCTAGTGGGAATGTTGATTAACAATTTCTATGAAGCAACTTGGCTATAAAGACCCAAAGACACAAAAACATAAACATCTTGATGCAACAAATCAAGCTCTAGGAACCTGGCCAAAGAAAGGGATTAAAAAGATGTATACTAAAGAAATTACTAAAAAGGATACTTTCCCCTTTATTTTCTACAATTTTAAAATCAAGAATAATTTAAACATTCATTAATAGGGAGTTACTTTAATAAACTATGAATTATTGGTAAAAGAATTATATGCATTCTAAAAATGATGTGTACATCTATGTTCATTTATAAGTTAACATACTGATAACAGTTTAAAGACTAGATCAAACACAGCATCATTCTTTTTTATATTAAAAGCTAGGTATACACATGCAAATAAGCACATTAGGATATGTGCTTATAATTTGTGATCTTAAGGATTTTCAAAAAAAGGATTAAAATAAATTACATGCTTTAGCAGTACTAAATGTTTGCTTAACTATGATAAAGTTTTTAACAATCCAATAGCAAAAGGATTAAATTCTCTCCTCTGAAATTGAATTTGCAAAAAAAAAAAAAAAAAATAGTGATTTCTAAAATATCCTCAATTTAAAAAAAACAAGGTAGTGCAAACATTTTAAGTGTTTATAATACACACTTAAAATAATTCTGTGCAGTGAATGTCATTCTACTTTACAGAAAAGGAAACTGAAATTTAGAAAGGTGATCCAATTTGTACAAGATCATACAACTACTCACTGGGAAAGCTACAGATGGAACAAATGATACCTAATCCCTAGCCAGGATGCCCATAGTTAAATTATTATCGCACTAATTCCAAGACCACTGGTACCAGATGAGCTAAAATAAAATGGGGTGCACATAAACCATTATTGGTGATACTGCCACCTACTAGGACATTTTCAATCAGGCTCTTTAATTGTATACGGAAAACAATTTTTAAGAAAATTAAGTATAAACTCTCCTAAAGCACAAAAAGAGTAGCAGTGATGAGATCACCTAAATAGACTAAAACCTTGGTAGCTGAAGACTGAGGCTCCATGAGGCTTATAATATAATATTTATACATTTTACAACTGATACTATGAAGCATCTACAAAGCTTAAATATCAGTCACTTGAAAAGGAGCACTCGTAAATAATGACCACATTTATCTTTTAACTGCCTCCATTATACATAGTCAACTTTACTATAATCAAAAAGGGTATACTTTTGGTAGGGCTCTACCATCCAACTCTAAAAAAAAGGCTTTAATCACTTTATAATAATAGACTAATCAATTATTACATAATAACCAGAAAAAAATTTACCAGGTCCTCAATATTGCCATAGATATTCTTTTTCATGCCCGATGCCCGAGTAGATACCCATCCTCCCACAGTGCTGAATTCCAGGGAATCCGGTTCATGACCTGTACAATAACCACTTTCTTTAAGCTGAAAAACAAAAAAAATGTAATATTTTACTAGTGAAAATGATCCCATTTAACACAGCACTCAACACATTAACTCTTCACACTTTAAAATGTCTACTTGTCACTGGTATTTGGACTCATTAAAACCTATATAGAAAAAGAAATACTTTTGTCATGCTCATCCAAAACAATTTTTAAGCTTTTGCCTAGTGGAAAACCTTACAAAACTGAAAAATGTGGAGCAAAAGACAATTCCACAGGTTTGCTAGCCAATCTTCTTCATTAGATCCTTTTATTTTAAAATACCAACTACTCTCCCTACTTTGTTTTTAACCACAAAGACACAACTTAAGTACTTATGGAGACCAGATAATGCTTAAGTAACTGCCAACTTCACCTAAACACTTTCAATAAATAAAGCACTTAATCTCCTGATCTCCCTACCCTAATATAATATGCAGCAGGCCTGCACAAAATCTAAGCAAATTGCCTGTACTTAATTCTCTCAAGGAGTCATGTGTTTTAATGTACAGCCATCTGGCTAGGTTTCCTGTATGCAATACCATCATTTATTTGTGATGCAGATCATGCATTCCTGTACATTAAATAGTCACTTGTTTCTCATTTTTCTATATTAGCTTGGCTTTGCCATCTGCACAGCACCTGAAGTTGAATGGATGCCCTTTACTGCAACACCACCAAAGCCATTCCACTGAAATCATTTTAAAGACTCAGCCATCTCATGTCAAATGGTACAGACACCACCATCTGCACATCCACTGTCTACTGCACTCAAGCCCATCAATCTGTATTGACCGTTTTGATAGTCATCCAGTTAAGCAACTGCTTCTATTTTTCAAGTAAGCCATGCAGAGATGTAGAATATGTCAGCTATGTTTGTATCTGTTAAGTATGGTGTAAAAGTTGTGATCTAATGTGAGAGAACCTGGTAAGTTGCAAATTATTTATCTTTTCTAATTGTTTTGCTAGGAAAAAAAGATTTAGAAAGACATCAACTGTTAATAGATTATTTTCACTAAATATTCAAAATGTTTATTTAATTTTAAGAGGTTATTAACTACTCATAAATAAGGAGCTTAAATACATGAATGAACAATTTTAAAATGAAGATTATCAGACTGTTATTTTATATTTCTTTCTAGTTCCCAATCTATATTTGTACTATTTACTCTCAAAAAAAAAAAAAAAAAAGACCACTATTACTCAATTTTTCTGAAATTAGAAGAAAAAGAAAAAACATTCATAGAGTGCCAGAAGCCGAGCTATCCAACCAGCCTGACTGCAGGGCCCGGGTGTGGACGGATCGGGACTGCAGGGCGGCCCACCGACAGTGAAGCTTCTTATACTCCTGCTTTTATGTAATTTGGCCTTAATAAAAGTACCTGGGGAATTGTCTGTTGGGGAACTGCCCTCGACAGGCCCCCTGGGAAAAGAACCATTGGGGAAGGAAATAAGGTTCCGCAAGGAAACTGTGCGGCCCTACATCTAGCCCTTGCCACCCCCTATAAAGACTCCTCTACCTAAAGGAAGGATACATTTCCCATACATTTCCCAGCCAAGGAAGGAATAAATGGATTTAAAAGCCCCACTCCGGCAACTAAGGAGTGAATCTGTGGGCACAAGATACTCCAACCCCTAGGCCCACTTGGCCCCCAGGAGGCATTCCAGGTGATGACTGAACCTAGTCGGTTAAAGTACAGAATGGTTCATTAGTTCCTAGGTGCATTGTCTCTCTGAGAATGCATAAGGCGTGGGTTCCTAACGCCCTCTTGGCCTCCTCCTCACACTCGGACCGAGGTGAACACTTGTTCCTCAAACCACAAGTGGTTCAGGAAAACAACTAAGAGGTCATGTCCTGTAACTGTTCCACTTGAGGTGTTGAGAGATAGATGACCTTTCATGAAAACAGCAAAGCAAATGCTCTATAGATTATAGATAAACATAGATACATAATGAAAATAAAGTAAGAAATTAATCAATAAGCAAAGGGCAGGAGGGAATGTTATGAGAAAATAACCATGTTATTCCTTAAAGGGTGATTACACATAGGAACATTTTTAGAATTAGATAATGCTAGAAAACATAGATGGCGCATGCTACAAGGAAATTGCTAACAAATATAATGCCACGTTTGCCACAATAAAGTGGCCTGCTTTCATAAACAACACACTGCTGTTGTCTGTGTCCACTTTTATTTTTGTTTTGTTTTATTTTCACTTTTTCGCCAACGCCGTTCATCCTTCGGGAACCTGCTGGAGCTGGACTCTGGCAATAGAGCCCTTAGATGCCCTAAGCACTAAACAGGGAGTTTTCACATATTCTCATGACAAAATCTCCATGTTACCTACACCAAAGCAAATTAAATCTATACTGCCTCTGTAAGTACATCAATATTAGATGTAATAATATGCCTCTTATGTCTGGTAGGCTAGTTCATTACCTTCTCCAATTATAAAGTCATGTAAAGCTATGAAATGAGGATACAAGAAAGAAAGAAAGAAAGAAAGAAAGAAAGAAAGGGAGGGAGGGAGGGAGGGAGGGAGAAAAAAGACTGTCTCTATGCTCAGGGAGCTCTACCCAGCACACCATTTTAAATCTACTTCTTTAAAACCTAACAACCTGCCTACTAGGTAAGTGAATAAGTGAATGGTTAAGAAGCTGAATTTGAAACTTGTCATTTATTATTATGCTTCCCAGAAAATTTGCATGCTACACTACACTAATAAGAAACAATTTTTGGCATATAGTTAAGTGCTTAATTAATGGTATCTCTGATCATATACATTCAGCCACTTCTTTTAAAAGTCTGTGCCTTTGCTATGTCTTTGTTAATGCCATTAGCTGCTAAGAAAAATCTGAAGAAAGATTTACAGATTTAACTCATACAGTTAACCAAATATCCCTTTTGAACAAAATCACCTCTCCTCTCCATCTGTATGCCATAAAAAGGAATAAGAATATTATCTTACTTCTGTACCCCATTCAATATTAAGACAACAAATATTTACTGACTCCTTATGCTCTAAGCCTCAGAAATATTACTAAGAGCAAATCCTAGATTGTAGAGCTTGTTATTATACAAAGAAGGGACTGAAGTTAACAAGAAACATAATTAAATTAAGACAGAACAATTAGAAGTGTAATGAAAAAACTAAAAGTACAGCAGGGACATCTGCCTCTACCCAAGTTGAAGCAAAAAGGAACTAGATTTACCTTCTCACATGAAAAAAACAAAAAACCCCAAACAAAAGTCTTTAAACACTGGACATGAGGTAACAAAGGACTGCTTATGAGAAAGCAAATAAAGGAAACGAACACTATGACTGTCCCTGGCTTAACTCCCGGCTGCAATGCAGAGAAAGGGAATCCAGGCACAACTCTGGAAAACACTGTGAGGTGAGGAGATGGGAGCTTGGAGTTGTGGAAAACCAAAGCATTAGAATTCACAAGACAAAGTACCAAAGAGAAGAGAGCAGCACAGAGAGAGAACCCTGGAGACTGGCAGATGGTCCCCCTCAAGTAGTCAGCAGAGCAATGAAAAGCACATACAAGTGAGGAAACTACCCAGGACCCGAGGAAAAAATAATCCAAACTGATTACAGAAAAGTACCAGGACTCATACAGGGCCAGAAACCTGTTCCACCAGCCTGACTTGGAATACTTTTCCTTCACAGAACATGAGGTAGAACACCCAGGATGGTCATTCCTCACTAATGAGGAATGATTAGTCTCAGATTGAGCACTTCTCTGAATCCACCTAAAAGATCATAGAAGCAATAACTAAAGGATCAAACTATTTCCAAATAACTACATCCCAGAAAAAAGCTAAAAAATACTTTTTATAGAATTGAAAAATATCTAAGACCTAGTAAGATAATATTCATGATGTCTGGTACTTAATACAAAAATTACTAAGCATACAAAGAAGCAGGAAAACACAACCTATAATGAGGAAAATAATCATTATGAGGTGAATAATCAAAACCAACCTAGAACTAACAGACGTTATAATTAGCTGACCAGGACATCAGAATAGTTATTTAACTGTATTCCATATGTTCAAAGAGTCGACACAGAAAACACAGAAAGACCCAAATTAAACATCTAAAAAAAGTAAAAAATACAATGTTGGAGATAAAAAAAAAAAAAATACACTTGATGGGGTTAAGAGTAAAATATACTCAGCAACTAAAAGATTAGTGAACTCTAAGACATAGCAAAAGAAACTAAAGAAAAAACTGAAAAGAGCAGCAGTGAGCTGTGGAACTTCAAACAGCCTAATGCATGAGTAAACAGTCCCTAAAGGTCAGGTAAGGGAGGGAGGGACAGATATTTGAAGAAATAATAGCCAAAAATTTTCCAAATGTGATGAAAACTATAAACCAAAAAATAAAGGAAGCTCAACAAATCTTCAATATAAGAAACACACAAAAAACTACACCAAGTCCATCACAATCAAAATATTCAAACCAGAAATAAGAAAATCTTAAAAGCAACCAGAGGAAAAAAACACAGAATGTACATATGAACAAAGATAAGGGTAACATCTAATTTCTTGTCAGAAACAGTAAAGTGAGACAAGAGCAAAGCAACATCTTTATATTACTGAAGGAAAAACACTGTCAACTTACAATTCTACACTCAGTTAAAATATCTTTGAAAACACAGGTGGTGACCTCGAACTAATAAGCAATTAAAGCAAGATTACAGGATACATGATTTATACACAAAATTCAATTGCTTTCCTATATACCAACAAGGAACAAGTGGAATTTAAAATTTAAAACATAATACCATTTATATTAGAGCCCCCAAAATGAAATACTTAGGTATAAATCTAACAGATGTGTACAAGATCTATGATGAAAATTCTGATGAATAAAATCAAAGGTTTAAATAAATGAAGAGATATTTCATATTCATGGAAGATTCAACATTATCAAGATGTAAGTTCTTCCCAAATTGATCTATAGATTCAGTGTAACAATGCCAACCAAAATC